CTTCTCTACTCTATCCAAAACAAAAAAATTGCCGGCGTGTAGAGCAGAGAGAGAGACTAGCGAACGCGCGCTTGCCGATCCCCTGGAAGTGACGCGGATTGTATCACTTCCAGTTCCTCAGCTGTCCTTTCCCAGCTAGAGAAGCCGAGTAAAAGAAGCTATTTGAGCGCGACCTGCACTTGAATAGCTTCTTTGCAGCCGGTATGAATTAAAAAAAAAAAAAAGTTAACCAAAATGAATTTATAAATACAAAAAAAAATGTAAAGTCCCCCGCCCCCAACAAATGCATGTATAGTAACGTAAAACAACGCTGGGGTGAAAACAAAGATTGCGCTACACATGTGAGGTATCGCCGCGTGCGTCAGAGTGAGAGCGATAATTTTAGGGGCAATATTCACGGTTAACTCTAAACGTATGACCTGTGCGAGTTTTTAAAGTGTTGCCTATTAGGGATGCACCGATACTAGTATAGGTATCGGTGCCGAGTATTTGGGCGAGTACTCCGATGCCTAGGCCCCATACTTTCAGTATCCCTCTTGTGACGAGAGAGCATGGAGCCGGCTTCCCAGCCGATCAGGAATGACGCGGCACACGGCTTTCTGATTGGCCAGGAAGACGGCTTCTTGCTCCCTCGTCACCTCATGACGAGGGAGCATGGAGCCGGCTTCCCGGGCCAATCAGGAAGCCGGGCCCCCGCGACATTACACGGCGCCCGGCTTCCTGATTGGCCAGAAAGCCGGCTACATGCTGGTGACGAGAAGCATGGGGACAGTTTCCCTGCTAATCGGGAAGCCGGGTGGCGAGTCATTAGACGCCGCCTGGCTTCCTATATGGGACTTCCGATACTACAGCAAAAAAATATTGGTACTCGTACTCGATACCGAAATCCTGGTATCAGTGCATCCCTATGAACAATTTGGGGTACCGCACGCAATTTTTAAGCTTGGCATGTCGGGTATCTATTTACTCGGCGTTACCTCATCTTTTATATTTTACAAAAATTGGATATTATATTGTGTTTTTGTGCACTAAAAAATAGCTTAGGTGTATTTTTTACTGAAATTTGGAGCTTTTCACTGATAACATGTGATGTATCCCTGGCAGTGATGGGGTTAAAGGGAAATTCCACCTTTTAGAAAAATAATAATACATTCAGACTTCTTCATAAAAGATAAAATGTGAATGTATTATTTTTTTGCATTGGAGCCAGTGAGGCCTCATTCACACACAACGCAAGCAAAATTGTATATTGCGTATATACGCGTCTATGCGTGCACTATATGCAATCCCAGAATGCGTCACTCGTAATGGAATTTTTTATGTGCTGTATGCATGTACTCGCGTATTTATGAGCGTAAACACGTGTATGTGCGTTTAAATACGCTGTCTCTACGCATCTCTGTTCCATTCTGTTTTTGCGCATATATACGCTACGCAAATATACGGCTCCATACGCGGCTATGTGTATGGAGCCGCTTATTTGCATGTGTTGCATATGGTACAATACGCACGTACATGCGAATGAGGCCTAAAGCATTGCAACCACGATCAGTAGATCAGTGGCTCTTGGGTGCAATGCTCTGGCTCCTGCAGACTCTTCCTCCTGCCTGTGCTGGAAGGACATTCAGCAACATGGCTGGGAGGAAGTGCCGATGGACGACAAGTAGGATGACGTAGTAGGGTGACGTCACCGCACTTGTATTCCATTGAGCACCACAAGTCACTCTGCCGCGGTGGCTGATGGGACTTGCAGCCTCTCCATTCGCAGATCCTGTCAGAGTCTCAATCTTGACTCTATTCAGTCGCAGAGTTTCCATCAACGTGGGGACAACAGGTTCCGAGGAAACGCCCGAGCACCGTATTTACCATGACTATGAGGCCTGTTGTTTCCTGTACATCGGTGTACACACGGTGAGCGCATTGTTTTCCTATGTTGTGTTTACACTGACTTAACCCTTCAAATAATTCCTAAACTGCATTGAAAACTAAAAAAAACAACATAATACATAAATGAATGATGTTCTTGTAAATAATGAATACATGCTGAAATGTGACCTCCGCCACCAGGACAGGAAGTGAGGGGAAATCTCCCCCAATAGGGGGGGAAAGCACTCCAGTTGTGGTGGAACTCTGTGGTATAATATCACCCCCCCACTTCCAGGTTCCGATGTCACCTCTCAGTGGTCACCATGTTATGGCTGATCGGTGTATATCAGGACAGGAATAAAATCAATGCCATTTGTGGATCAATATACTGCTGTGCATTTGTGGGGGCCTCCGTGTGTGCAGCTATGAGGGCTGACGTTGGGCGAGTGCTGGTCTGCAGTGCATTATTATTGGTACATTGGTGCTGATCTGAGGTCCGTCATGCATTGGTGCTGATCTGAGGTGCAATGATTGCATTGGTGCTGATCTGAGGTGCAATGATTGCATTGGTGCTGTTCTGAGGTGCAATGATTGCATTGGTGCTGTTCTGAGGTGCAATGATTGCACTGGTGCTGATCTGAGGTGCAATGCTTGCATTGGTGCTGATCTGAGGTGCAATGCTTGCATTGGTGCAATGATTGCATTGGTGCTGATCTGAGGTGCAATGATTGCATTGGTGCAATGATTGCATTGGTGCTGATCTGAGGTGCAATGATTGCATTGGTGCTGATCTGACACTGACCAAGCAGCGTCCATTGAGGCCTGTTGGAAGAGCATCCCAGACATATTCCTATATTTGGGGAAGGCGGCCTTCGCATTAATCTCTACATTTGTCTCCATGTACATATGTGAGCAAGTTTTTCCACACATGAAGACAGAGTTAGGTCTTTTTGGAAGCCGACAGGCATAGTTCTGTTGCTAATGGCAACGTAAACAGATTAAACTTACCTATAATACTACAAGTGTACAAAACAGAAATCTAACACTACAGCGCGCTAGTGTTCATTGGCATCTGGTTGTCTGATGGTTGCAAAAACGGCACTTGGTGTGTAAAATGTTGCTGACCCCGATCTATACATAAAGAAAACTGTGTAGGCCTACTAAGATTGTAAGCTCTCGGGGGCAGGGCCCTCCTTACTATCGTTTCATGATTTGTATTATAACTACAATATCTTCCTTATATTGTACATTGCTTTGCAAACTGTTGGCGCTACATAAATCCCGTATAATAATAATAATGGTAAAGAAATCAATAGAAAATCCTTGCTGCCCACATGTAAAATGGCGGCAAACGCGTTACGTCAGCAGGCCGGAAGACATTTTGCTTCCCCCGTTCCCACGCCCCTTCCCCTATCAGCAGACTAATCATTGGCTTTTGATCTCCCACCCAACGCCACTTGTGCGCCGCTCTCTCTCGCATTGGCTGCTCGGTTCATCCCTCCTCTGGCCTTGACCAATCAGGCGCCGAGTTCACTCTAACAAAGCCCCCGCGTCTTCCTTGTTCCCCCGGCGGCCACGCCCACGGCTTTCCCGGGTGCCCTATCGGTGAGGCGGGACGCTTCTGCGTCACTGTGGGCTTGGCCAACCAGGAGCGGTAGGAGGAGTTTATTCTGGCCTGGTCTAGTCGGGGCCCGAGTTGTGGAATAAGGTCGCAGCACACGTGGAGTTGTAGCCGGTGGAGAGCAGAGGTAAGCGGGGCTGGCGGTGACAGGGGGGCGGCTCGGTGTGGTGTGTGGGGGGGAATTATAGAGCGATGCCGGGCAGGAGAGGGGAAGAGCAGGCCTCGCTGAGCCGTGGAGATTGGCGGGAGCGGATGTTGAAGGCTTTCTCTCGCATTGGCTGCTCGGTTCATCCCTCCTCTGGCCTTGACCAATCAGGCGCCGAGTTCACTCTAACAAAGCCCCCGCGTCTTCCTTGTTCCCCCGGCGGCCACGCCCACGGCTTTCCCGGGTGCCCTATCGGTGAGGCGGGACGCTTCTGCGTCACTGTGGGCTTGGCCAACCAGGAGCGGTAGGAGGAGTTTATTCTGGCCTGGTCTAGTCGGGGCCCGAGTTGTGGAATAAGGTCGCAGCACACGTGGAGTTGTAGCCGGTGGAGAGCAGAGGTAAGCGGGGCTGGCGGTGACAGGGGGGCGGCTCGGTGTGGTGTGTGGGGGGGAATTATAGAGCGATGCCGGGCAGGAGAGGGGAAGAGCAGGCCTCGCTGAGCCGTGGAGATTGGCGGGAGCGGATGTTGAAGGCTCGTACTCCGTAATGGCCGCCACACTTTTCATTGATCGGGTTGCTCGTGCTTTCTGATGTACAGATCGGCCAATCCGGTCATCTCATCAGCCCGAACCGTGTTCGGTAGGAACTTACCCCATCCTATGTAACGGGAGGTCGAATCTAAACTACCGATTCCTATACATCTATTGGTGAGTGTGGCGGACTGTACGATCACATTGTGTGTGTTGGGGGGTTAAAAGGCGTTATCTGTGTCCCATTAGGGATGTTTCCCTTAACTTCCTGTCCTGAACACTTAACAGGAAATTGAAATAAATCCTATGATATTCTCTTGGTTGTCATGGGAAGAGGTGCCCCCATTGATTTGCTTGTGTTCTGGTGACAACTTGCATAGATCAGAAAAGTATTTTGTATACAATGGACAGGCTGGGCTTGTTGAAACCATCCATGACTCTGCCCCCCAATCTGGGGACACTGTGTGCCCCTCAGAGCAAATGATCCCCATGTCTTTGTGGTGTCCGTGAGCGGGCCCTCGGTGAACAGGGGCCCCTGTGTCACTCTACAACAGAAAGGCAGCAGTCTCCATGGACCACCTTGGAGGTATTTCCTCTCGCTCCCTGTTGTGGCTAATTGGACACGAAGTGCAGGTAAAATATCAGGGGTTGTAACATGTGGGGGTCCCCCCAGATTGGGGGCAGGGTCATGGATGGTTCTGACATTCCCAGCCTGTCCATTGTATACAAAAGACTTTTCTGAATGATCTAGGCAAGTCGTCACCAGAACAGGAACACATGCAAATCAATGGGGGCATCTCTTCCCATGACAACCAAGAGAATATCATATGATTTATTTCAATTTCCTGTTGAATCTACAGGACAGGAAGTTAAGGGAAACACCCCCTCTCCCCATCCAAAACAAAAAATGGCTTCAGTTCTACTTTAACAGTCTCTATAGAACAGATAGTGGCGTTTAATTGCCTGCAGGCCGTATCTGGACCTTTTTGGTCCTCTTCAGTCATGGGCTGCTAGGGTAGCTGGCGTCCTAGCAACCAATGACATCGGGTCGTCCTCCTCTGCAGTCACAGGTTGCTAGGACAGATATGAAATAGGGGTCTTCCTCCTCTGCAGTGATTGGCCGCTGGGCAATCCTAGCAACCTGTGTCAGGGGTCCTCCCCCTCTGCAGTTGGTTGGGGGGGAAGCCTAAGATGCCTATAATATAGTATTGTTTTGCCACGGGTCTTTATGGAGTTTTGGGCCTTTTTGGGGCAGGAGGAGGTAAACATTGGACGACAAGTGGAGTGACATCATCACTCTTGTTCTTTATTGAAAACTGTGGGTTTGTTTGAGTGCCGGGGTTTGGCTAGTGCACCCATGTTTCATGGCGTGCCCTGTAAGATGAGATGGTGTCCCTAAGGTGGACTGTGCCTTTAAGACTTTCTGCAGGCACACCAGGGAAGGCGTGGTTGACCAGGTTGGGTATTGTAGACACACCAGGGAAGGGGCGGTTGGGTATTGTAGACACACCAGGGAAGGGGCGGTTGGGTATTGTAGACACACCAGGGAAGGATCGGTTGTCCAGGTTGGGTATTGTAGACACACCAGGGAAGGATCGGTTGTCCAGGTTGGGTATTGTAGACACACCAGGGAAGGATCGGTTGTCCAGGTTGGGTATTGTAGACACACCAGGGAAGGATCGGTTGGCCAGGTTGGGTATTGTAGACACACCAGGGAAGGATCGGTTGGCCAGGTTGGGTATTGTAGACACACCAGGGAAGGAGTGGTTGGCCAGGTTGGGTATTGTACCCGCCTCCAGGGAAGGATCGGCTGGGTATTGTAGACGCACCAGGGAAGGAGTGGTTGGTCAGGTTGGGTATTGTAGACGCACCAGGGAAGGAGTGGTTGGGTATTGTAGACGCACCAGGGAAGGAGTGGTTGGCCAGGTTGGGTATTGTACCCGCCTCCAGGGAAGGATCGGCTGGGTATTGTAGACGCACCAGGGAAGGAGTGGTTGGTCAGGTTGGGTATTGTAGACGCACCAGGGAAGGAGTGGTTGGGTATTGTAGACGCACCAGGGAAGGAGTGGTTGGTCAGGTTGGGTATTGTAGACGCACCAGGGAAGGATCGGTTGGCCAGGTTGGGTATTGTACACGCCTCCAGGGAAGGATCGGCTGGGTATTGTAGACGCACCAGGGGAGGAGTGGTTGGCCAGGTTGTGTATTGTAGACACACCAGGGAAGGTATGGTTGGGTATTGTAGACACACCAGGGAAGGAGTGGTTGGCCAGGTTGGGTATTGTAGACACACCAGGGAAGGATTGGTTGGGTATTGTCGACACACCAGGGAAGGAGTGGTTGGTCAGGTTGGGTATTGTAGACACACCAGGGAAGGATCGGCTGGGTATTGTAGACGCACCAGGGAAGGAGTGGTTGGCCAGGTTGTGTATTGTAGACACACCAGGGAAGGTATGGTTGGGTATTGTAGACACACCAGGGAAGGAGTGGTTGGCCTGGTTGGGTATTGTAGACACACCAGGGAAGGAGTGGTTGGCCAGGTTGGGTATTGTAGACACACCAGGGAAGGATTGGTTGGGTATTGTAGACACACCAGGGAAGGAGTGGTTGGTCAGGTTGGGTATTGTAGACACACCAGGGAAGGTATGGTTGGCAGGGTTGGATATTGTAGACACACCAGGGAAGGATCGGTTTGCCGGGTTGGGTTTTGTTGACCTCTCGGAAGGATCGCTTGGTTGGGTTTTGCAGATCCCTCTCGGATCGCTTGGCCGGGTTGGATTTTTCCCGGCTGTGTGCTGTTCACCCAGCAGAAGGTCAGTGTGGTGTGAGCTCTGTACATGGACCTACACGTGGCCTGTGTATGCCAAAAACAGGTGGTCTGCTTGGTGCCCACCATGTTTTCGTCCTCTCCGGGGGTCTCCATATGACACCTCACTGAGGGCAGCTGTTGGTAGCTGACTGTGATCGGTCCTTCCATATCAGCTGTTTCCGGTGGGCTCATGAGTTGAGTTGAACATTTACATGGGGAGGTGCCCAATGACACCCGATATTCCGTCTCTTATGTCCTAACATGGTCCAGCAACACCACCGCAGCTGGGATCTGTTGTAGGGACTTGCCCCTTTTAAAGAACATTGTAAACATAATGTGTGTGGTGGGCAAAACTTGTGTCATGAGGCCTCACCTGAACTATCCATTCAGCTTGTTTCCAGTGCACACTACGTGGTAGGGGTATGTTGTGGTGAGCCTTGTTATAGATTAGCCAGCCTGATGCCCCTTGGTTCAGGTCCAGCTTCCCTCTGGTTTCTGTAGCGGAGCACGGCGGCTCCCTTCAGATCTCCTGGGTTCCAGACGGGCCAACCAGAGGCCTAAAAGGGGACATTCACCTTTCCAAAAAATCGTGCGAAAATGGATTTGTCCATCTCACCCGGCCTCGGCTATACCTAATCGCCTGCCAGCAAGTGTAGTGGTCTGTACACCGGATATGCAGCCCTGCACTATGGAATGCTCATAATGTTCACAAATGGCAAGCACTCATTGGTCAGCGTGGTCACGTGAGCATGATGACCAACGAGAAGCTTCTCATCCTTGACTTGGAGCGCATCTCTCTGGTCTGTGTGGTGACCCTTGAGTGCTTTCCATTGGTAAGCATTATGAGCATTCCATATTGTGGGGGGGCTTGACTATATTGAGTGATGGTCGGCGGGCAGGTGGGCAACGTCCACCCGTCTGGGTCAGCAGGACTTGCATGACTACCTGCACTGCAGAAATATGTACCGTGTGTGAACTGTTTTACATCCTGAAGGAGCTTTATTGCGATTCACCCAACCTGACATACTAGACGGCCGGCATCCTCCTCCTCATCTGACACGTGAGCGGGGATTTGGTAAAGTTGAAGCAGAAAATTGCAGCACCCGGCTTTACAGGTTTACAATCGGGTGAGTCACAAGACTAGCTGCAGATTAGGAGGAGTTGGAAGGTGAAGCGGATGAAGTTTGTACTGGGACTATTGAGCAGACTTCCATTTTGAGACATGGTCCATATGTGGCTCATTGCTGACCTGCTTCTGAAGGTGGTAGATGCCCCCGTGTTCCCTCACTGCATGCAAGTCCTGATATCACTTGTCCCAGGTCAGCCACTTGGAATAGGATGGAGACAATGGCTAAGGTTGTTTTTGAGAAATTGACCTTTGTGTTTTCCTTATCAATCACCTCAACATTGGACTTCCAACAGACAACTAGTGTCCAACTCGCGCTCCCTTTATCTTGGTCCGTGGTAGAGTGGAGTTACGTTGTTGGTTGCGTTCTATGAACCTTCTCTGGTTTTGCGCTGTGCTAAGTTTTGTGCAATCTTTGTTTTTGTCCGGCAGACATCATGACTGAGCAGGACGTTGAAAACGAGCTGTTGGATTACGAAGAAGATGACGAGCCGCAGCAGTCAACTGAAACACCGGCACCCACTGCCAGGAAGGAGGTGAAGGGCTCCTACGTGTCCATCCACAGCTCCGGATTCAGAGACTTCTTGTTAAAACCTGAACTGCTCAGAGCCATTGTGGACTGCGGGTTTGAACATCCCTCAGAAGGTAGGTGCAGCTCTCTCTGATAGGAACTGGTCCTGGAAGTAGTATGTGCATTGATGACATCTTCTTCTGAAGGTAATGGTTGCTTGGCTGTCATGAAAACCATCACACCTCATGAGGAAATCTACACACTCTGCTCAAGGAGTGTGGATTTATTTAGAAGAGTATCAAAAAAGTGGAGCTTAGACGGTGGCGGAGCTTCACGCTTGTTCATACTTATTAAAAGCCAAGCATGTTCAGGAGGAGAGGTCATCAATTGCACTCGCCCTATTTTTCAGCACATGTCCCAAAGTGTACCTATGTGCTGCAATCCCTATTTAACCCAGTGGTGGGTACACTCCCCTTACACTTTACTATTTACCATAGTGTCCTGTTCCCTCAAATGTTGACTCTCCAGTAAGAAAGCAGAGACGTTTCATTGTGGTTGCTCCCTGGCCCTTCCCTTCCTCCTCTGCTGTTAGTCAATGTAGTATGTGATAGAAGGGCTTACAAACCAATTGGGGGTTGATAAGAGCTGGGAGAGGTAAGCCACCAAGGAGATCATCCTCTCTGTTTAATAGAGCATCACAGGGTTCTTGGTGTAGCGGTGTGTCCTGAGAAATACCAGGAGTGTATGTGTGCAAGTATTGGCCCAGTTCCCTGGGTGGGTTTGATGGAGATCTGTGTGGTTGGCCCCTTCCCTGGAAGGGTTTGGTGGTGGTTTCTGTGCGGGTATGGTTGGCCCCTTTCTCTGGGTGGGTTTGATCGAGATCTATGTTCCAGTATGGTTGGCCCCTTACCTGGATGGGTTTGATGGAGGTTTGTTTGCAGCTATGGTTGGTCCCTTCCCTTGGTGGGTTTGATGGAGATCTTTGTGCAGCTATGGTTGGCCCCTTCCCTGGGTGGGTTTGATGGAGATCTGTGTGCAGCTATGGTTGGCCCCTTCCCTGGAAGGGTTTGATGGAGATTTGTGTGCAGCTATGGTTGGCCCCTGCCCGTGGTGGGTTTGATGGAGATCTGTGTGCAGCTATGGTTGGCCCCTTCCCTGGAAGGGTTTGATGGAGATTTGTGTGCAGCTATGGTTGGCCCCTTTCCTGGAAGGGTTTGATGGATATTTGTGTGCAGCTATGGTTGGCCCCTGCCCGTGGTGGGTTTGATGGAGATCTGTGTGCAGCTATGGTTGGCCCCTTCCCTGGAAGGGTTTGGTGGTGATCTTTGTGCAGGTATGGAAGGCCCCTATCCCGGGGTGGGTTTGATGGAGATCTGTGTGCAGCTATGGTTGGCCCCTTCCGTGGATGGGTTGGTTGGAGGCCTGTGTGCAGGGATGGTTGCCCTCTTCCCTGGGTGGGTTTGGTCAAGATCCAGCTCACATTTGCTATAATAAGGATTTTCACTTTGAAGGTTGGTTTTGTGTTTCTGGCCCATCTTGGCACTTCTCGAGCTGAGTCCGCGTCCTTTTGAATCCCGCTCTTGTTTACTGTGGAGGGGCGTGTTTTCCTGTTCACCAGTACTTGGTGTATGACTAGTATTACTGTAGTGTGCCCCTGACGGATGTTTGTCCCCCATCTGAAATTCCCTTTGTCTGCTTGGCCCAACATCTGTATGCCGACACAACTCATGATCTATTCTTTTCCTCCAGTACAACACGAATGTATACCTCAAGCCATCCTCGGCATGGACATCTTGTGTCAGGCCAAATCCGGTATGGGTAAGACTGCGGTCTTTGTCCTGGCCACACTTCAACAGATCGAGGCAGTGGAAGGACAAGTATCGGTTCTCGTAATGTGCCACACGCGTGAGCTCGCCTTCCAGATCAGCAAAGAATATGAAAGATTCTCAAAGTACATGCCTACTGTAAAGGTGAGCGCTTTTATCCGGACCTCTTGGGGTGTCTGTCACGCCACGGACCTTGTGCCCACGTACAGTACAGCGAGTCATTTTGATGGTTAACCCCAGTGATCTTCTCTTCAATCCAGGTTGCTGTTTTCTTTGGAGGCCTTTCCATCAAGAGGGATGAGGAGACGATCCAAAAAAGCTGTCCACACATCGTGGTGGGAACTCCGGGCCGGATCCTGGCGCTGGTCAGGCAGAAGACTCTGAACTTGAAGAATGTCAAACACTTTGTCCTGGATGAGTGTGATAAGATGTTGGAGCAGCTCGGTGAGTGCTATAACATGGTGGAGGCATTTGTGTTAAAGGAAAACTTGGGCTTGGGAGAAATACGGAGGCTGACATTGACCTTCTGAAAATGTATGTTGCCTGGCATTGATATTTAACACTGACCTGGAACAAGCACACAGATCAGGAAAATTGGACTGAAGATATAACGTCTAACCTCCCATATTCGTTGGAATATACCAAAGCCCATGAGGTCAACTCCACAGTCGGGGAATAGTATATTCTGGAGGGAGGTCATAGGCCTTCAGTGACGTGACAACTGATGGTGGGAATTCAATTTCAGTTCCTGTTTGGTCTGGGGCAGGAAGTGCAGTACAGATTATCTTCCCCTTCCTGCAAACTCTACTTTTACTTTATTCTTCTGGCTGAAGATGAGGAGCTCCTTGGCCCACTATAGTAGATGGAGAGAATGCCAAACTAGCTTTAGCATGGTTGGGGCACAGGGTTGATCCTGTTTAGACTGGGATGACTGACCTCTATGGTGGGTTGAAAGTTGCTGTCTCCTTGCCTTGAGCTTGTCATTATGTAGACCAGAAAGTCGGTGTCCTATGTAGGTGTGTGCTTAACGCCTCCGTATGCATCCCTAGTAAATTCCAGTATTGATCCTGCCATTTGCCCGAACTTCTAAGTGGCAGCGTTATTGCAGCCAATCCTCTGACTTCTGCAATGCCGCTCTATGCCATGTTCCGGGGGTCCCCCTGTGAAGAAGCCACCCCTCACGACGCCTTATCTGTTTAACGCGCAGCTCCAGCATGATTAACAGTTGTCCCTTTTCCTCAACTAGCTGCCCCACGTGACCATCTCCAGCTGTGTGAGGGGCGGCTCCAGCAAAGGTGATTGACAGAAGGAGCAGCGCAGCCTTGAGAACAGCTGAGTGTTTCAGTGGAGCTAGTTCTAGCATGTATGATGTTGGTGGAAGCCAATTGAGTCTTCTGCATGCTCTGCCAGCCGCCCAGCCCTCCGAACTGCCAATAATATCATTTGATTTCATTAATTGGGGTATTAAATCTTATTTTCATTTGAAAAGCAACAAATGAGTTTGATAGAAAATCAAATGTAACCAAATTTGGTGTTCAAGTAACCATAATCTGGTCTACAACTGATTCTTTTATGGTTACTTGTATGGCCAGCATAGTTCCCGGCCTCTATTGGATTGTCTGCTGTAATTTTTTTTTTTTTTTTTTTCTCTTGTGCTCATCAATATAAGGGCTGTTGAGGGCCCTGACGATATTGGAATTACTACAGACATTACTGTGTGCTCTAGACCTGAGGCAATGCTGTGGGGATCTGTATCGCAGTAATAGAAGGCATTTTATATTTGCTCCCTATGGCTGGAACACAGGTTTTCTGACCGTTGTTTTTACGTTTCCTGCAGACATGCGCCGAGACGTTCAGGAGATTTTCCGTCTCACCCCTCATGAGAAACAGTGCATGATGTTCAGTGCCACCCTCAGCAAGGAGATCCGTCCAGTCTGCAGGAAGTTCATGCAGGACGTGAGTACCCGGCATTGCGATCTACCTGCAGTTGCATCGCGTGCTTATGTTTCCTATGGCAGACTCTTAACTTGGTTTCTTCCCCAGCCTATGGAAGTGTTCGTGGACGATGAAACCAAGCTGACCCTTCACGGTTTGCAGCAGTATTACGTCAAACTAAAGGACAGCGAGAAGAACCGGAAACTGTTTGACTTGTTGGATGTGCTGGAGTTCAATCAGGTTGGTAAAAGGGTCCAATAACTATCACTTCGCCCACTCAGGTCTCCATGATGTCTATAAAGCCACCAAACCCTCCAACACAGTAACTTGCCCATCTGTGCTCCTCCATCGGAGCCCTTGCAATGTTCTGGGTATGTTGGGGCATCTGAACTCTGTTCTGACATGAGTGGCCAATCGCTAGGACCATAGACTCACGTGGGGAAGCAGGGACAGCGTTGCTTTCCCAGGCTTGGCTTTGCAGTATGAGTCTAGGAGCATACCTGGAAAGGGGAAGCTTTCAGGAGCTGCTGTCACTTTGCTCTGAATGGGAAAACATGGAGGATGCCATTGCTAATTTCCCTTTGATTGCCAATACTACTTGCCTAGTTGTTATACGTCTCTTCCATCAATACTTTGTATTACTGACCCCTGTAATATACAAACAAGGATTTCTACCTCTTTCCTGATCCGGACACCCATTTCACTGGCCCAGAACTCTCCTTTCAGTCAGGCATTCTCGGAAGCAGTGGCAGCCCCCATGTTTATTCTAGCTGTACATAACTAGGCAGGCGGTGTATTGGTATATACGTTTGTGTGCATCATACCTGACGGCAGTTGTCTCTCCCAGGTGGTCATCTTTGTAAAGTCCGTGCAGAGGTGTATAGCGCTGGCACAGCTCTTGGTGGAACAGAACTTCCCAGCTATCGCAATCCACAGAGGGATGCAGCAAGAAGAGAGGTGAGGCTTGCTCTCGGATTTCTGGGAAGGTTTGCGTATACAGCAGCGGCTGCTCAGTACAGTGGGGTGTGCTTTATAATGACACGCGGGTCGGTTAGTGCTAATTGAAAGGACAGAAGAACTCCCGGAGGTGATCTGTTATCCTGTGGTCAGAGGGGGCGATGAGAATCATATATCTTCCAACTCGGTGACTGGTCTATTTGCAGCTGCTTCTCTTAAAGTGGACCTTCTACCTCTGTGACAAGGTCTGCTTAGATAAAGTCTTTGTAATATCCCCTTCTCACACCTTACCTATGTACCCCAGAATCCAACAGGTGCTGGAACAACTGGTGGATGCCGCCACAATATACAGTCTAGAACAGTGGTTCTCAACCTGCGTAACCTCAGGACCCACATTTGTCCTTGGTAATTACGTCGCGACCCATTGCACTGCACTGGAACACATGGCATTCCAGCTTCCTCTCAGGCCATAGCTCCAGCCTACTGCACCTCAAGCTGACACTCTGTGCCAGGCTTCATATTCTTAATGTCTGCTCAGCGCGAGAACGGACATTGCTGCACTAGGGGGAGGCTGAGGAGCCTCTCACCTAGAAAAGTGGAAGGCTCGCGGCGACCCACTGAACACGGGGTCGTGACCCACCAGTTGAGAAACAAGGGTCTAGAACAGTGGTTCTCAACCTGTGTAACCTCAGGACCCACATTTGTCCGTCTCATTAAGTCGCGACCCAAGCTGCACCGCAATGGAATGCACAACATGGGGGTACCGCACGTTTCGGGCGATCAAATTATGGGTGGGAGGTGCGTTTGGGGTGTCATTCAAAAGATCCGCCCAGTCTCCATAACTTACGAGAACTGGAGTGGATCCTCAGCCTGGGGTGCAGTGTGAGCTGCTGTGCTGTGACAGAGCTCCATTCATATGTGTATTGCTTGCACAGCTCCCTTTGCGTGCCCCGTAGAGGTGTCGGGAGCCAGAAAGTGACGTCACTCCGGTCCAGGCACTTCTACAGGACATGTGAGGGAGCTGTACCTATGGATGCAGCTCCCTCATGGCCATAGCCCCAGCCCATCCCACCTCAAGCTGACACTCGGCACCGGGCAACATATTTTTAAATGGCTGTTTGGCGTGCAAGAACTGACAGTGCTGCGCTTGGTGGAGGCAGAGAGCCTCGCATCTAGAAAAGCGGAAGGCCTGTGGTGACCCGCCAGTTGAGAACCAAGGGTCTAGAAGATATGTTGTCTGCACACCATTTTGCTTCAGAATGGCCTGTTCGTATTCTTTTAGCTTAACGTGTATGTAACATTTTGGAGCCTCACAGGACCCCTAGGCTAACGGAATAGGTCCTGTGAGGCTCCAAAATGTTACATTCACATGTTGAGCTAAAGGAATACGAATAGAGGACATTCTGAAGCAAAATGGTGTGCGGACAACGTATCTTCTAGATTTCTTATATAAGGTGCCCCTTCTCCCCCGGCTTAAAATGCCTTATAAAAGAACCTGCCGGGGGTAGAAGTTGGATACTCTACTCTTCTACTTTACCTCGTAGTGCATGGGGTCATGTCGTTCTGCTGACAAGAAAGAAGACAACTCTGCACAGTGCAGGATTGTCTCATGGGATTTGGGGTACTCAACATTTGTCCGGAAGCAGTGGGACATCAGACAAGTCTAGGAGCTGCTGGAGGAAGTTGGGGTAAGGCAAGTAGATTCTCTATTCCCCCCCCCCCGGTACTTTTTTATGTAGTGTTTTTAGGGAGGAGGGGACACCTTGTACAAGCAGACCTTACCACTGAAATGAAAGCTGCTTTATTCTGCTCATTAACATCCATCAGGGATGGACAGGTTGGAGTACAGGGAATATCCATGGAAAGTAGGGATGTCCAGATACCTGGAAGCGTACTTGGTACGAGTACTGATGATCAAGCTCCAAGACTCGACCAAGTACTGGGGCCTTTTATTGTTTTGAAGTGTCATGTGACCGTTTTGTGACTAATGATTTCAGGACAGCGGTGGAGCGCCAGGGCCCAGTCCCAGCTGCAACCCTGGTAGTTGGCGTGAAAATGCCAAGTATCGGCACTGGTATCTGAACACCCCTAACGGAAGGTACTGGCCCTTTTATGAAATTCATGGCGATTTTAAAGGGGGCTATTTATAAAGCAGTGCAAGTGGCATTCACCAAACATTCACTGCAAGTTAATCAGTCACTGTAATGTAAAATACACTTGCAGTGAATGTCACCACTCAGCTTTATCAATATACCAAAATGTTTGGGGAGGGAGGTGGCTAGCTGAAGAATTCCAGAGCCAACGTTGTTGACCGTTCCACTTAGCAGTTTGTATAGTTGTGAATCTTTTTATATTTGATTTTATGTCCTCTCAGGCTCTCGCGATATCAGCAGTTTAAGGATTTCCAGAGGAGAATTCTTGTGGCCACCAACCTTTTCGGACGAGGCATGGATATAGAAAGAGTTAATATAGTCTTCAACTACGACATGCCGGAGGACTCCGACACCTACCTGCATCGGGTAAGAGGTCTTATGGTCAGAGAATCGTATGTATCCCATTGCACTCCAGACCCGAGTCCCAATAGAGTGCTCAGACAAGTGCTGGAATGACCTGCGGATGGCGTCGCACAAATCAAAATGTAGACGGTAGTCGCCTGCACACCAAGGTCCGATATATCGGATATACATGGCATGTGAAAGCAACGTTCCCTTCATCAGGCAAAACATAGCGACACTTTGCTGTCACAATGTTTTGACTAAGGGGCCGCTGTAGGTTCTGAAACATTGTTTTTACATGCGAGACCATGTGTATATCTGATGTCAGATGGATCAATATATTGGACCTTGGTGTGCTGGTGACTACCTTCTCTAGTTATGATCAGAGAACACACAGACTGTACTTGTGCTTCACAAACGCTGAAGCCGTCGCTCCGTGATTTGTATTGCTGTCATTCTTATCCCTACTATCCTCCTCGGACAGCCGCTGATGGAAAACAAGCATGAGCGGGGTTAGGCGCCCCCAACATGTGAGCTCTTCATGCTTGTTCTGGGGCAGGGACTCCCGAAATAGGGAAAAATATACAGAGGGGAATTTATGGAATCTGGTGGAGCAACCAATCGGCTTCTCTCTACAGTTTGCTCAGGTGAGATTTGTAAAAGAGAGAGATGCTGATTGGCTGCAGTGCAGATCTTCTCCAGTTTTGATCAAACCCCCCCACAGTGTCTTTAGATCAGGGGCGCCCACAATTTTTTGTCAAGATCTACTTTTCAAATGAAGAGCTACATGAGATCTACCAATGGGAAAAAAAACAAAACCTCTCTCCTGGCTCACCTTGCTGTATTTTGCTGTGTAAACTAATTCTTTGATGTAATACAAAGCACTTCCACCCCCAGTATCCACCAGAAAGGTGTCGGGGAGCTCGGCTCAGCAGACTCAGGCTAATAGGGAATCGTGTGCACAGCTAAATAAATATACCAACATGGAATACAGGGGCCGCCATTCCCCCCCTTCCTGATCTCCCAACATCAGCTCTGAGAGCTACTGCTAGATCACCATCTACCTAATGGGCACCCCTGCTTTAGAGCATTCACCTACAACAGTAGCAGGTGACAGGTTCCCTTTAGGCCTTGCTCATACCAGATGATCGAGTCTCTCTGCCCCGTTCACACTCGGCTAGTACACCGGTGTGCAATGTGTAAAAATGTAGACCTGATGCGCAACAAACATGTGACAATGTGCTGTTGCGCATAGAGTTAAAGTTCATAAAAGAAGATTTGCGTGATGGAACCGGTCACTTGCATGCACAGGGAACATTTGCACGTTTTTGTGCCCACTGGTGTGAATGAGCCCTTAGTCTCACTTTTCATCAATTGGCATTGGACTTGCCTACTTCTATTTAATGGGCTCTCTATGTAGTGGCTAAAAACGTGGCGGCCTTTCACTCCGCTCCCGGTGTACCTCGGGGCATTGTATGTGTTTATGAACTGTTGCTATGTGCAGGGGTGCATTTGGTTAAGCTGTGTTTTTGCATGTTGGGGGGGTTCCATTAAGAAAGAATTGCAATGCATATAAATAGCACGTTGTGCCGTGTGGAACTACTAAAAGAAGATGGCTTTAGGACTTGTTCACACCATATACCATGCGTTTCAACGCGGTTAGCTGCTGGAACGCACTGTATCGCATGCCGGCTTCCTGCATTCAGTGCTTAAGGGGGTGAGGTGGTGCATTGAAGTCAATGGCACTACAGCTACGCCCCCCCTGCCCACACCAGGACACGTGGTACAGCAATGCCTGCATTCCGGTCCAGAGCGATCGGAAAAAATGCTGCATGCACTATATTTACAGATCACACTGGACCTGAACGCAGTCATTG